CCCCAAAACCCCAAAACCCCAAAACCCCAAAACCCCTAATTTTTACTACAAATTGAGGTAGGTTTATTGAATTAGAATTTCCTCAGGAAGAAAATCATAGTCCGCCTATGAAAATTATTTCATCTCTGGGATGTTCTTATGGCTAGATATTCTAAACTTCTTCTTTTGCATAAGTTTCATGTATTTTGATCTAGATTTCAGTCTGAACTCGGTGTCTTCCCTCGCTAGTACTCCATCAATCTGACTAACCGTGCTGATTCATTGCTCAGGTGTGAAACCAATGTAAGCTGCTAGTTGCTCAGGATCAAGCAAGTTATATTCTTTCTGGTCGTCTGAAGTCTGCTCTGGTTCCTTTTGAGCCTCTGCTGGCTTATGTGTGTGGCTCTTGGTCAATTTCTCCTCTCTATTATTGGATTAGTTATAAAATCTAAGATTTTCAATAAAGTGGCAGAACTTGGTGTGAAGAAAGATAAGGTGTTAATTCACCCATGATCCCACGGAAGGTGGCTTTTAAGCTCCCAGAGACCATCTAGAAATATTTTGGATGGGTTTAAGTAACTGAACTTGTAAGAGGAGCAGTGGCTTACTTTTTTTGGGAGTTAGAGCTCATACTGTATGGAGCAAGTTCAGCAGTCTCACTGACACATCTTCTATGGCTCTTGTATTTGTGGGTTCAGTTTATGAGACAGTCTTTATCTGGCTTGTTTGTAGTGTATAGTTTTGATCGTGCTAAAAATTTGGTAAATTATTGGGGAAATGGTATAGACAAATTTTGAGTCAGGCTAAGGAGAGTGGCAAGTGAGGGATCTGTAGAAAGAAAGGAGAATTGAAAGACAAGGGATTAAATCTAGAGTCTAGAGTCTAGACATAGAAAAGAGCCAAAATTGGTAAGTTCATTGGCTTTTGTAGATGTGAAAATTGAAATTTTAAAGGAGAATTTGGAGGTATTAGATTTATATGTTTTTCTTGAGAGTTTATATATATCAAAATCAGTGAGGTATTGTAGGAATTTTTAAAAAGAGTTTATTAATGAAGAGGCTCTAGCTAAAAAAATTAAAAATATAATCAGGATCAAGCCTTCATGAATCTCATCCCAGTAATGATTTTGAATAACAAGTTATCAAGTTAAACTATGTTAAACCATGTTATTTTTGTTGCCAAAATCTCCACTCCCTATCAGCTTTAGTAAAATCTGAGTGAAGTTACTGTATTACAGATACTCTGCGTAATGTTTCCATATAATCTTATTCTCATACGCTACGGTAGTCTTCTGGTCGTCATTGAAACTCAGCTGCCTAATATAACAAAAACCGGGATGTAACATAATTTAACTAGATTATCTGGCTTAATAAAGAATTTATGAAACTGCTATAAGCAAACTTACTTGCCGCATTGCTATTTACAAGCAGGCAAGTTGAGCTCATAAGTTAGAAGTTATAGAAGCAGACATCATAACCTCTTCATCCAATATTTTTAAGGATTTCTAGTACACATGTCTCTCTTTCAATGCGTTTTTGGAGAATTTTTCTTGAGAAAATCACTTCGAATGGGATAGACAGGAGTAATGTTTATCTGTTCATGGAGGTTCAGGCAAACTTTAAGGAGTTATAAGCTAATCTGGGTCGGAATTAGGGGGAAATGATGCCTTTAGATATTTTCATTGACTCAGAAAAACTAAAGAAAGTAGGTCTGTGGGGTAAATATATAACTAGTACTGTTTCTAAAATCTACCTCTAAGACGTACTATGTTCTCAAGATTTGAGCCTCTCAAGGTAAGATTTAGCAATGAGATTATACACTTTGGCATGCTGTTCTTTCTGATTAAAATTAGAGCAATCACCACTAAATTCTATATCAAACTAAGTAGAGGGCAGTGAAGCAAGGATTCTTTGAAGCCAAGTAAGGCTTCCGTCTGGTGTTCAAGAATGTACCCAAAATGTTACTAAAACATTAGGATAGTCCAGATTGCTTTCTACTGAATTATACCTGCTAAGCTAGCTCTAATAGCTATTCAAAACAGCTAATGAGGATTGCTTTACCTTTTCTCATGCTTTCCATTTCTATTTTATTTTGATAATTTGGGGTTTTGGGGTTTTGGGGTTTTGGGGTTTTGGGG